TTTTTTTTTTTTAAGTTTTCAGTTTTCATCACCTGTCATCAAGGGGTTAAAAGAGCATCCGCCTGTCATAGATGTTGGGAGGTGGCTCTTGCCCACTTACATAATGACCACACCTGTCTAACACACACCTATCTGATGTCACATTCTGATCCATCCCTATGTTCCCTATGCAATGTCCCTCTCTCAGTTCCACACATTCTGTTGTCCTGTCCACACTTTGATACAGCTTGTACCTCTGCTTTCGCCCATCTATCCTCCCTTCACTGACCTCCCAACCTATCAGACATCCTGACAGAATCTCACACTTTCTGCTTTGACAACCTGTTCTCCTTCCTCAGATGCATACATATCCTTCACTTGATATAATCCCCTTACCTAATATTAATCTAGATAGTTGACATATAGCAACTAATTACTTACTCAACTGCCCTTCACTACCCTTTACTGTACCTTCCTATAGTGCTACTTGACCTTAGAAGTCTAGCACATTTGTTTTGCTTTTAATCATTAATCATTCTCCAACCATTTCTACTATCCACTTCCTAAGATATGAGAACAGTGTTGAAAGGATGAAAGGCTGACTTTGTGCCAGTCCAGAATGGCCTAGGGGAGCCATGAGCATAGTATTACCCTGTTTGATTGTCTTTCCCTTACCCCGCAAGGGGACCCTGAGGGATGGACAGTTTCTCTCTCCAACATACACAAGAGTTACTATGGCCAATAATGAAGATTTTATACCCCTGTTAGGGGCAGTAAAGCTTACCCCTTTATCAAATAGCCCCATTGATTCAAATTCTCCTGGCTCCTTGACCACAGGCTCTCCTTTGACCACAACACTGCTACTACTACCCCCTTCCATTTATAATACCACATGTCGGTACCATATTCTCCAACAATTGTTCTCCCTAGGCATACATGGAAACATGGATGTCTTTGTAAAGTCCTTCCTCTTCAAACAATTTCCATGACAAAATTGCTTCTTCCATATCCACTCCTCAGTTTGAAGGCATCCTGCAAGCCAGTTCTTTCAGTCTGCAATATCATCAGTATCTTCCTGGGTTACTAATAAAGGCTTTTGCTTATCTATCACCAACTCTTTCGCCATCCTTTTCTCTCTCGCATGTGTAGATCCCCAACTTCCCGTCTTCTTATTCCTTGGTGTTATTTTTTATTCCAAATTATCTTGGCAAGACCATATATTTTACAGATACTCTGCCGCCCTTTACTATACCTTCCTATGGTGCTACATGACCTTAGATGTCTAGCATATTTATTTTGCATTTAACCATTAACCTTTAACATTCTCTTTTAGTTCAGGAGTGAGGCAAGGCTGTGTTCTTGCACCAACATTTTTCAACACTTGCATGGTCTGGATACTGGGTAGAGCTACTGTCTAAAGTCACTGCAGAGCAAATCTGGGCAGTTTCAAGGTTACCGACCTTGACTTTGCTGATGATGTTGCTATTCTATCTGAGTCTCTGGAAACCCTAGTGGTGGCTCTTGATGCATTTAGCAATGAAGTGAAGCCCCAGGGGCTAGAGGTCTCCTGGACCAAGATGAAAATCCAGGACTTTGGGGGCCTGCTAGGAAATTCTGTTCAGTCGGTATGTGCTTGCAGTGAGGTTATTGAGGTTACAGAGAGCCTTTTGTGCCTTTGTAGTGCAGTTCATGACTCCAGGCTGTCAGATCAGGGTCAGTATATAGACTGGCATGGCAGCAGGGGGCACAAAATCTCTTGACAAGAGTATTTGGAGATGCAGGTACTTGTCAGAAAGATCAGGCTACATGTCATCAAGTTCCTGATACTGCAAGTTTTACTGTATGGTACTGAAACCTAAACGTTATCTTGTGCCTTGGAATCTCGTTTTGATGCCTTTTGTAACAGGGTCTTGCGCCAGATCATAGGGTACAGTTGGTGGGAACATGCGCAACGAATAGTTACGCTGTGAGACTGGTATAGTTTCTTGCTCAATTTGTGATCACCAACTCAAGCTATACAAGCACCTGGCTTGTTTCATATATATGTATACAGTAAGTCCCCAACTTTAGAACATAATGGGGACCGAGAGGCTGTTTGTAAGTTGATTTATTTGTATGTCAAAAGTTGGGTCTCCATTACGTTTTTTCCCATTGTTTTAAAGTTTTATTTACATTGAGAATACCTATATGTATATGTATATATATACCTGTAAATAAATCCCAATAAGTATGACATACCTTATACAGTACCAGACTCTTGAACTATATTCATGCCCGGAAAATTTGAAGTTTGCTAGCATCTTTCAAACAATTTTTTGGACTTTAGTACTTAAAAAAATTTGTTTGTATGTATGGAATGTTCATAAGTAGAATGTTCTTAAGTAGGGGACTATCTGTATATATATATATATATACATACATATATATATATATATATATATATATATATACATATACATATACATATACATATACATATACATATACATATACTTATACTTATACTTATACTTACATATACATATACATATACACATATATATATATATATATATATATATATATATATATATATATATATATATATATATATATATATATGTGTATCTATATACTTATACATATACATATACATATACATATACATATACATATACTTATACTTACATATAAATATACATATACATATACACATATATATATATATATATATATATATATATATATATATATATATATATATATATATATATATAATATATATATATATATATATATATATATATATATATATATATATATATATATATATATATATATATATATATATATATATATATATATATATATATATATATATATATATATATATATATATATATATATATATATATATATATATATATATATATATATATATATATATATATATATATTATATATATATGTATATTTATATATATATATATATATATATATATATATATATATATATATATATATATATATACATATTAACTTCGGAATATATATATATATATATGCATATATACATATGTATGTACACACACACACACACTCACACACACACACACACACACACACACACACACACACACACACACACACACACACACACACACACACACACACACACACACACACATATACACACACACATACACAGATATTTGGATAGAGGTGGGGGTGGGGGGAGAGAGGGAGGGAGAGGGAGAGAGAGATATGTATCTGTTTGTGTGTGTGTATGTGTACATACATCCTCGACCTCCTCTCCCTCAGCCTCCTCTCCCCTGTCCTCCCCTCCCTCGTCCGCCTCTCACTCTCCTCCTCTCCCTCGACCTCCTCTCCCTTGTCCTCCCCTCCCTCGGCCTCCCCTCCCTCGGCCTCCCCTCCCTCTACCTCCTCTCCCCATCCTCCTCTCCCCCATCCTCCTCTCCTTCCTTCGGCCTCCCCTCCTTCATCCTCCTCTCCCTTGTCCTCCTTTCACTCGGTCTCATCTTCCCTGGCCTCCTCTCCTCTCCTCCTCTCCCTTGTCCTCCTTTCACTCGGTCTCATCTTCCCTGGCCTCCTCTCCCTCCTCTCCCTTGTCCTCCTTTCACTCGGTCTCATCTTCCCTGGTCTCCTCTCCCTCTCCCTCCTCTCCCTTTTCCTCCTTTCACTCGGTCTCATCTTCCCTGGCCTCCTCTCCCTCTCCCTCCTCTCCCTTGTCCTCCTTTCACTCGGTCTCATCTTCCCTGGCCTCCTCTCCCTCATCCTCCTTTCCCTCCAACTCGTCTTCCCTGGCCTCCTCTCCCTTTGTCCTCCTTTCACTTGGTCTCGTCTTCCCTCTCCCTCCTCTCCCTTGTCCTCCTTTCACTCGGTCTCATCTTCCCTGGCCTCCTCTCCCTCTCCCTCCTCTCCCTTGTCCTCCTTTCACTCGGTCTCATCTTCCCTGGTCTCCTCTCCCTCTCCCTCCTCTCCCTTGTCCTCCTTTCACTCGGTCTCATCTTCCCTGGCCTCCTCTCCCTCATCCTCCTTTCCCTCCAACTCGTCTTCCCTGGCCTCCTCTCCCTTTGTTCTCCTTTCACTTGGTCTCGTCTTCCCTCTCCTTCCTCTCCCTTGTCCTCCTTTCTCTTGGTCTCATCTTCCCTGGCCTCCTCTCCCTTTGTCCTCCTTTCACTTGGTCTCGTCTTCCCTGGCCTCCTCTCCCTCTCCCTCCTCTCCCTTGTCCTCCTTTCACTCGGTCTCGTCTTCCCTGGCCTCCTCTTCCTTGTCCTCCTTTCCCTCCATCTCGTCTTCCCTGGCCTCCTCTCCCTTTGTCCTCCTTTCCCTTAGTCTCGTCTTCCCTGGCCTCCTCTCCCACATCTTCCTCTCCCTCGGCTTCCTCTCCCTCGTCCTCGTTTCCCTCATTTTCTTCCCCCTCGGCCTCCCCTCCCTTGGCCTCCTTTCCCTCTTTTTTTTTTTTTTTTTTTTTTTTTCTTCTTATTTTTGACAATATAAAAGTACCAGAGAATCTCTCTCCTATTCCTCCCTCCCTCTTCACTCATTGCCGATGGGGAAAATGAATTAAAAAATGGGGTAAATACTGTGCCTATTTTTTATATTTTTTTTGTGAAATGTCTCTACACATAGATGGTTCTGCCTTACCTGATTTCACCTTTTCTTGAATTGGTGGGAAAATTTATTTTTTACTAGTGCTATGAATATTGACGGTGTTATTTTTGTTATAAACATCATAATTACTATAATGTTATAAACAGTAACAACAAAATATGATAACGTAAAATATTTTCGAAAATTTAAGAAAAGGGTGAATGGGCGAGACAGGCAATACTTGTAATTGGCTCATTGGTGATTTAGTACAAGTGTAGCCATCTATGTGTAAAAACAATTAAATAAGTAATCTCACAGCGGGCATGGCATGGCATGCCCATCAGCAATGGGTTAAGTTTCATCATTTATGGTATGTGTAGTTCTTTGTTCTGTAATATCATGGTAATGTGAGGTTCCTTTCTTTACAGGATTTAATGAAGGATTTAGCGAAGAAAAGAACATAAAGTCAACAACCGAAGCATCTCAAGAATTACTTCTGAAAATATTCAGCAAAGAAAAGTTGTCTTTGGTTTATATAAATCTTATAGCTTCAGTTCTAAATTTGCAGTATTCTAGAGATCCCAAACAAGTTTCCAAGTATTTTACAGACTTATTTCTAGAAAAACTTTTACCTGAAAGTAACTTGAATGAAAAAGATGTTTCTGTATTTAAGTGCCTTAAGAATATTGGACTAAATGATGAGATGGTTCGTTTAGATATTATTTGTTATTTACAAACAATTATAAAAAGCAACAATTTTGGTCTTATTTTCAGAGAATTAGCCAATGACATTTGTTTGTGGCTGGGTTATCCAAATTTGAGTGTACAGGTTATCAAGAACCAAGATAATATCTTATGCCAAAAAGCACAAACAGATTTAACTTTAAGCTTTCTAGATGATTATGTTATTGAAGCTCTTGAGGGTGGTGCTATTCCATTTAAACCATTTAGTGTTTCCCAGAATAACTCTAGTTTTGAGGAAAAGGCCAATAATGGATTTCATGAAACATACCTGAGTACATCCACTGTACCAAGCGTGGCATCTGATGACGCTCAGTCATCTGCTCCCTCAACAAGTACTCACCTGACAGCCAGCACATCTGTGAATAATGCCATCTTGAGCAGGTAATGTTCATGTGGAGCCTTTTGTCACAAGTAATAGATACTTTCTGTATATTTACATACTAACTAGATCACTTGATACAGGTTTGGTATGTTAAGTTGTATTTACACCCCATTTCAGAAGTATGCTTGCTTGTGGTAAACGGATGTGGAGTAACGAAGGTCGAATTCAGCAGAAGTTAGAAGGGGAAGCATCTGTGGGATCCACCGCTGATTTTTCCTTGAAGTCAGTTGGCCAGAATGGGAATAATTTCCCATTGAATGATGATGATGAAAATGATGACATGACAGAAGTTAGTGTTGAACTAGCAGATGAAGCACAAGAGGACAAACAGAAAGAGCAAGATACCTTATCTCTACAGAGGTCACAGTTGACCCAAGCATTACTAGCTGGTCTTGGTATGACAAAATCAAAGTAAATAATACCAGTAGTTTTATATGGGAAGTTGCAATGCATTAATGGTGTCCTACATTAAGTGTTGCATTATATTGTTTGTTTTTATGTCACCTACCTTGGTATTTCATAACTTTTTTTACCCATATGACAGTAGGAACATGTACTGACCACTATAAATTTACTGGAGTATTTTTTCACATAATTGTGCAAGTATATAGTCATGAAGGAGTCAAATCCTACAGTCCTTCCTGAACCCACCTATTTACCTTATTCATTGAATTTTCGCTAAGAATTTTTTTATCATTGTTTGGTGATGGTGATGATGATGATGATGATGATGATGATGATGATAATAATGATGATTACTACTACTACTACTACCACTACTACTTCTGCTATTATTATTACTACTATTATTAATATTGTTATTATTATTAATAATAACATCAATATTATTGTCAATGTTATTGTTATTGTTACTATTATTATTTTAGTATTATTACCATCAACATCATCAATCACCACCACTATCAATCATCACCATCACCACCACCATCAATCATTACCATCACCACCATCAGTCGTCATCATCAGTCATTATCACCATCATCATCAGTCATCATCATCATTATCATCATTGTAATTGTTATTGTTATTATTACTGTTAATATTACATTATCATTGTTATTATTGTTTTCATTACCATAATTATTTTTTTAAGGTTATTGTTATTATTACTGTTATCATTGTCATTATTATTATTATTATTATTACTGTTATTATCATCATCATCATCGTCATCATCATCATCATCATCATCATCATCATCATCATCATCATCATTATTACTAATGACAATGATGGTGTAGATGTCAGGGAGCCATCTTTGTGTAAAGAGAAAAAAAGAAAAAGAAAATTCCACAGTTAGTGGGCATGGCTAAATCCATTCCTTGCGTTATTGGGTTAAACGGTATCTTTTGATATGCAGTAACACAAGCGCTGTGTATTCTAAATATAAATATTTTTAACCCATTTGTGACAGGCATGTCACATATCAATGCCATGCCTACTGTGAGTTTATTTGTTTAATTGTTTTTGCACGTAGATGGCTACACTTGTACTAAAATCACCAATGAGCCAATTACGAGTACTGCCTGTCTTGTTTGTTATCTTATTTTGCTATTACTAATGTTTATAACATTATAGTAATTATAAAGTTTATAATGAAAATAATACCATCGACATTCAGAGCACTAGTAAAAAATACATTGTCCCGCTAATTCAAGGAGAGGTGAAATCAGGTAAGGCAGAGCCATCTATGTGTAGAGACATTTCACAAAAAATATAAAAAATGAGCACAGCAATTTCCCCATTTTTTATTCATTTTCCCCGGCGGTAATGGTTAATGTGTAAATTTTGTTTAATATATCCATATTGTTTCTTTTTTCAATTTCTCCCTGTAGATAGGTCAGAAAAAGAATATTCCTAAAGGTGTCACACTTTTTATTTTTCATTTTTCATGCAGTAGTTTGCACTTTGAAAAATAAATAAGTAAATCAGTATTGGCCCATATAAGGGATCTGACATCTTTGACGATTCATTACGGGGGCATTATGTATTTCTAGTAAAATCAATTAAAAATGAATATTTGACAACACAATTAAAGCGGAAATAAATCAGAGCCATGACTGATTATGAGAGAGAGAGACAGACACATACACAGACACTGACAGGCACACACAGACAGGCACTGAAGGTCCCCTGTGATCTAGATATGGGTTGCAACCTTCAGAAAATTTAGAACACCAAATATGGAGGATTTCAATTGTACCCCTATTTTTATTGACCAGGTATTTGATGAATTCTCCATGGGTATGTAAGAAGGCTTGGGGGCATAACTGAGAGCCAGATGAGCCTTTAATTTCCTGTTGAAAGTAATGAGGTTGAGATGTTTCTAATATTTTGTGATAGGTTGTTCCAGATCTTGGTTTCTCGGATTTGCATTTGCCTTGACCCAGCTTCCATGTATGACCTTTTAACGTGTAGAGAGTTAATCTGTCTGGTTTGCATGTCGGTTTTGTTACAAATTGTATAATTATACATGTCATATGGATATTTTTGTTGAACTTGTAATCAATTCGACTTGGTTACATGGGTGGTTATGTGTTGATGTTTATTTATATTGCCTAGTGTCATTATTGTGTTAAAGTATTAGTTTTTATGCTTTTTGTATTGGAGTTTTGTTGGTTGAGCCCCATATACTGGAACAGTAGTTTATAAAGCTGAGTGCAAGGGTTTGTACAACAGCAATTCTCGTATCATTTGGATTTTATTTTTATGTGATTAAGGTAAAACAGTGTGCCCATTATTATTACATTTTTAAATGTCCATGTTTGTTTCAAAAATCATGAATTTCTCTAGTTGTACTCTTACATTGTTAACCCATTCGCAATGGGAAAAAATGAACAAAAAATGAGGAAAATGCTGTGCTCATTTTTTATATATATTTTTAAAAATGTCTCTACACACAGATGGCTCTGCCTTACCAGATTTCACCTTTACTTGAATTGGGGGGAAAATGTATTTTTTACTAGTGCTATGAATATCGATGGTTATTTTTATTATTAACATTATAATTACTATAATGATATAAACATTAGTAACAGCAAAATAAGATAACGTAAAATATTTTTGTAAATTAAAGAAAAGGGTAAACAGGCGAGACAGGCAGTACAAGTACAAGTGTAGCCATCTATGTGTTAAAACAATTAAACAAGGAAACTCACAGTGGGCATGTCACATATACTTGACACCCAGAGCGAATGGGTTAATGGGAATGCTTGGTTTATTGTGTTTGTGGGGATTTATCAAGATTTAGTTTAACCCCTTGGTGCCGGGTATGACGTGTATGTACGTGCTATGCCCGCCGTGAGTACTTGTTTGATTGTTTTTACGCATAGATGGCAACACTTGTCCTAAATCACCAATGAGCCAGTTACAAGTACCGCCCGTCTCGCCCGTTTACCCGTTTCTTTGATTTACGAAATATTTTACATTATCTTATTTTGCTGTTACTAATGTAAAAAAACATTATAAAAATTATAATGTTTATAATAAAAATACACACCGCCGATTTTCATAGCACTCGTGAAAAATACGTTTTTCCCGCCATTTCAAATCAGGCGCTAGCAGAGCCATCTATCGACAGACATGTCACGAAAAACAGAAAGTGGGCACAGCATTTTCTCCATTTTTTGTTCATTTTCCCCGGCAGCATTGGGTTAAGGCCATTGCTATCAAAATACATTCTTGCTTCTGTAAGAGTCTGTTGGGTATTTCGTTGATGATTATAATTTATAAGATCGGGTCTAATATGGAGCCTTTTCGGACACCAAGACATGACATATTGTTGATTGACTGCCTTCTTGTCGATAGATAAGTTCTGAACCAGCAGTTGTCAGTTCCATGATTTTTCATTTTGTTAAGCAGGATTTCATGGTTGATACTATTAAATGCTTTTGACTATAGATTTATTTGATTATTTGTCTGTTGTCATAAAGTTTATTTGCAATTTTTGATAATGCTGCTTCCTTAAATTGCTTACATCTAAAGCTATGAGGTGATTGGATTCTAAGAATATTGACAGTTGAACTGAAATTTTTTTTTCAAGCACTTTAGATATCACTGAGAGTAGAGTTATTGGATGATAATAATTTATTTCTTCTGCATCTCCTGATTTGTAAATAGGTGGTATGATGCCATGTTTCCAAAGTGATGGGTAGGTACTGGTGACAATAAATGTGTTTATGATGATTTAAATAGAATGCAATTTTGGGTAAGATTTCGTTGATGAACCCACTCCTACAGCATTCATTTCACACAAGGGATTCATTGTCAAGACTATTGTTTCCACCTCTACTGGCTGTGGTCTAAAAGCATTTGTTGAGAGCCTTGTGCTAGTTGTATTATGTGGGACCGTGCAAGCAGCTGTCTGTTCACAAGCGAGTCTACCGATATTAGATGTTCTATGTGGTGTTTTTTTAGTTGGTTTGTTTGTTTATAATCAGCCTATTGGGTGATGTCAGTTCTGTTTGTTTTGAGAGATATGCTAGTTATTTCGGTCATGTAGAGCTCTTGATGTCCTCATTTATCCAAGGAGCAGTACGGATGAGGTATTTTCTGTGATCCAGAAGGATCACAGAAAAAAAAGGTCAGCTTTATTTATGAGTTGTTTAAATTTATTTTCTTAATGACCCCATCTAATTTTGCATTTGGTTTATTTAGGTTTCATTTAAATCACCTAACCTAAGATAAAAAAAAGAAAAGAAAAAGAAAAATCTTTTCATTGACATTTCTTTAAAGCAAAGGATTCAGGGTGTCTATAGTTTGTACCAGTAACGAAGGAGGGATACTAACTGCTTACACAGATGTCCTCAACAGCTGTATTATTAACAATTGTAGTGACATTTGATTTCTCTCTCTCTCTCTCTCTCTCTCTCTCTCTCTCTCTCTCTCTCTCTCTCTCTCTCTCTCTCTCTCTCTCTCTCTCTCTCTCTCTCTCCCTCTCCCTCTCTCCCTCCCCCTCCCCCTCCCCTCCCCCTCCCCCTCCCTCCCTCCCTCCCTCCCTCCCTCCCTCCCTCCTTCCCTCCCTCTCCCTCTCCCTCTCTCCCCCTCTCCCTCTCTCCCTCTCACTCTCTCACTCTCCCCCTCTCACTCTCTCACTCTCTCACTCTCCCCCTCACTCCCTCTCACCTTTCCCCCTCACCCCCTCTCCCTCTCTCTCTCTCCCTCTCTCCCTCTCTCTCTCTCTCTCTCTCTTCTCTCTTTCTCTTTCTCTTTCTCTTTCTCTTTCTCTCCATCCCCCTCTTCTCTCCTTCTTTATTATTATTATTTTTTGTAATAATAATAATTAATAATAATTAATGGTTTATTTACTAAGAAAGTTTTACATATACACAGTAGCATACAGCAAAACATACTGTCTCAGTTTACAAAATATAAGATATAAAATCCAAAAATTCAAGGATATTTATTAAAATAGGGATTATTAAAAAATCAGAAGTATATCATTTGTGTACAACATCGGATATATATACAATAAAATGTTGGTGTAAGTAGTTTTACAGTGAATTGATTTGGGTGACAATATATGGTATGGTTGAGTTTTTATATCTAGCGGTCCGACATCTAATGGATTGCAACAATTCCCTACCTCTTCTTGTGTTTCTACCATGTATATCATACATATTCTGTGGTAATAAATGCCTGTGCTCAGGTGATTTGAGGAGATCTCTTCCAAACCTAATAGTTAAGTCTTCCCTTCTTTTGTATAGTGATTCTCTCTCTCTCTCTCTCTCTCTCTCTCTCTCTCTCTCTCTCTCTCTCTCTCTCTCTCTCTCCTCTCCTCTCCTCTCCTCTCCTCTCTCTCTCCCTCTCTCTCC